AGTTATGTTAGTTATGATAGTTTAGTTATTATGTAAATACAATAAAAATTAAACCAAGATTTAGAATAATTATCATTTTGATTCATACATTGGTAATGTCTGACTGGGCCTCGTGCCACTTTATGTTCAACAAATTGGGCCCAGAGGTCAAAAAGGTTAAGAACCCCTGGTCTAGATGACGTCACACGTTTCAAACAGGAGAAACACCTGATGGAAACYGTAGTTCAGAAGGAACAGTTGTTGTACTTACTCATAATCATGATGTTGGCATTGGACAGGAGGGTTCCATGTTTGTTGGAGGCCTCGCACTGATACACGGCGCTGTCAGAAGCTTTGGCATTATGTAACATTATGGTATCATCAAACAMCTTCCTGTTGCTCGCAGGGGAATCTGTAATGGAGCAAAAGCRCACAAATGTTTCAGATCGTCATCGTTTAAAGACATCAAGTTACAGTTTTTGAATTCTTCAGCAGACTTCCTAACACGACAGAGCTGAAGGAATTCTCTTATCATCAGAGCATGATTCCACCCAACTGATGTTGTCGTGTTTTTCTTACAGACATGATGGATCGCCTCATTAAAAGTGAGGCTCAGATTGCAGACAGTGCAGCTCGGCCTCTTATATTTTTATTTTTAAATTAACGTTCTGTCAATCAGTGATGCTTAAATATTTATGCGATGTTCTCATCCTACACAAGCTCTCAGAAGTAACACAATATTTGACTGACTTGAAGGATATTAAAAAAGAGAAATAAATATTGCGACAAACAAGCTTTAACAGACTTTATAATATGCATATTCATGTTTTGGTCCATATTTAGTAAGTTGGTTCTTTCAAATTTCATATTTTTTTATTTAACATAAAATCTATTTGATTTTAACTTTAACTAAAGATTGTTTGCTGTCCCAGTTGAACAACAACCACTATAATCTGTTTACATATTATTATTTTGTATAATCTGAAACATTTATTTTATATTCATGCTTCACACATTCSCTAGCAGTGTATCTCACTCATAATGCACAAACTTTATCTAGACTACAATTTGATCAGACAACATTACAATCTTATTTAAAAAWCCTTTCAGCTACTATTTGTCGAAAGTAAAAATCTTTAGTTTAGCTTAAAGTTTAGTTTAAAACAAAAGGCACAGGTAAGTGTTTTCCTCTTTGCCTTTGTTTTAAACTAAACTTTAAACTAAACTGAGGCAGCACAAGCATGCACAGTAGATCTGCACATGGATCCTGCTTCTTCCTGTCTCTTGACCAATGGAAGAGGAGTTGACCCATGATGTCCCGCCCACTTTATTTGCATTATGAGACAGAAATGCATTTAAAGTAAAAACAGGACACAGAGAACTGCATGTACAAGCAAAGGAAAATTAAAATGTATAAATATTTTAAAAACAGTAAAATGTAAATTATGTKCTAAAATGTATAATTTATTGGAACTAAGCTGGAAAAATAAATATGAAGRTCAGTTAAATCATAAAACATTTTTTATTTAATTTGTGCATTTTAAGTGTATTTGTTTATTTGTTGGTCCTTTTATATATTTCTGCTTTTATTTCTAATTATGTCAGTTTCAGTCCTCCATATATTTTAGCTACTATTTGTCATAACTAAAAATCTTTAATGCAAACCATCATTTTATGTGCAAGTAATCTGCACTGCTGATTTAGACCACCATAAATTGAAAAATTAAGGGATATTTTAACTTTATCATTCACAGAGTGATTTATTTAGCACTTTTTTACTATTTTTGTTCATAATGATGATGGCAAAGGAGTAAAAAAATGCTGGTAAAACGACCACCTTTCTAAAGCAATGTCTGGTTGGCAGAGATTATAGTGGGACTCACCGTGCAGAAGTTTACCATTCACCCTCCACGTGATGGTGGGCTGCGGGGTCCCCCTGGCAGAGCACTTGATGAGCACATCTGAGCCGATCATACTGAGCTGACTCTCCGGCTCTGACACCCACTCCGGAGGCTCTGAGAACACACAGTCAGCGTGATGTTATCAAACTGTGGAGTGTCAGAGGAAAGGAGACACCAGGCCTCTGCAGAGCGAGCCAACAGCTTCTTACTGGGTTTTATTCAGAACAAATGACTGCTGCTTTTACTGCCCACCGCAGACAGTGATCCTCAAAGAGACCCTTCTCTGCAGAGCGACCGACAGCACAACGCAGGTATTAAGTCTTTTTGTCATCACTGCTTTCACACTCTTCTGTTCATGAAACGTTCTTTAAAGTTGTAAACACACAGATGATACATACAGCTCAGCTGAGAGCGTGACAGTAATATAAAAAAGAGGTTTTCTAATAAATATCTTAATAACACCTGCACAAGATGAAACACAAGGACACAAGTTAAAGGTTATATTATATAAAAGCAACAATTTAATGGTTTCCCTTATAATAATCAACTAAAGAAACTGAACACTTCAATATTTGAATGAAAGCTGAGTCAGGATTGTTCACACACRTTTTTATTTTCATTTATCTGTACAGTTAGTTTGGTATCTATGGTACCTACTTCTGCGTACTTTGCACAATCCTAGCCATTTATCTATCAAAATGTTCAGCTTAGAATAAAATAGAAATAGCCTTTATCGTCCCGCCGAGGGGAAATTCAGGTGTCACAGCAGCATCAGTACAGTTTCACACACTAGTTTCTTCACAAACTATAGTGCACACAAAACAAAAAATAACACTGACTAGCCATGATACGACTACTAATAATAAAAATATATAATATAAAGAACTGTGCAAGAATAGAAAAAGATATGTTTTGTTTTAGAGACAGTATACTATCAAAATCCAACATTAGGAATCAGAAATTGTCTGTTTTCAGCTCAAATCAATCTCAATAGACCAATAACTGTAAAAAGTGAAGTCTCACAATGCAGACAAGAAACACAGGTGTGCAATTACAGCAGAGTTTTTTAAAAGCTTATTCAGTAGATACAGTAAGTGGTATGGCTTTTGGTTTTTGTCAATTTTGTAATTATTTAAATTTTTTACATTAAATAGCTTAGAATTGCATTGTGATCTCATTGGGCCTCATGCAAGAACCGTTCGTACGCACAGATTTGTTCTTAAGTTGTGCGTACGAGTGATTTAGGAGAATTTGTGGCATTCACCAATGTTTTCGTATTCTAAGATTTTTTTCAGTTACGAACAAAATTTACGAGTGGTCCAGACCTGTCTTATATTTTACAAGCAGTCAGTCTGCTGTTATCCAGATGGGTTTTCTTCACTAATAACTTTATATTTCGTTAGTTTGAAGATATTTTGAGTTGAAAATAAATCACACTCCATGATTATGTTGACAATAGGCTATTCTGCTTGAATTAGAGTTATAATTTTAAATGTAATAATTTAGACTAACAATATAAATTGTCCGTCCGGCCGGCTTACCCGCTATCGGGTGCGGGGCCAGCAGGAGACCCCGCGCTCTCCCCAGCGACACCTTTCAGCTCGTCCTGGGGGACTCCGAGACGTTCCCAGGCCAGAGGGGATACATAATCCCTCCAACGAGTCCTGGGTTTTCTCCAAAGTGCCAGACTTATTTTGAAAACATTTTAAAATGCTTATTTCAGTACCGCATCTGAGACCACCTGCGACCGTGCAGCGTGCTGGGGGGTGGGGGGTGTACGGTGCGCAACGGTGTGGCTTCTGGATAAATGAAAATGATTTAACACAGTTGTTTATACTTTTAGCAGCTCTTTTTATTCCACAGCTGAGCTGCTAAACATGACAGATTTTCTTTTCTGGATCTCTGACAGACGGACTTCAATCTCTGAACTCGTAAAGTTTTTATTTTTAATTTTCGCTGTCATTTTCATGAATGAACACTTCCTTGTATCTGAGGCAGGAAACACAGCCTTATATGGTGTTTTTGGGGTGGTAATTATGCTAATCTCCTCTCGCGTGCACGAGCAGCTGGATACAAACAGGTGGAATTTACGCAGCTCATTTACACACTTTTCCTGAAGATAGAAGAGTTTGTTGAATCTGACGTGACATGTTTGTACGAACCCTTTGTACGAACAAAAGTAAGAGAAATTTAGGATAAGAATAYGAACATGTTCTTGCATGAGGCCCATTGATTCATTCAGAAAGGTGAACTTAGTTTCAACAAACTTKCTCTTTATTTGTCTGTTTATGTAAAGTTGTATTTCCTTTTAAGTAAAGTTGTGTTTTTATTTGCTACTTTTAGGTCATGTTCAGCTTCTTTTAAGCTTTAAAGTGCCTGTGACATGCTTATCCTTCAGATAAAAAAAGTCAAAGAAAACTTTGTTCTATTTAAGAAAAGACATACCACACATTATTTTACCCATTTGGACACATAACTGGCCTATTTTCTTTTGACCTCGGCTCGGCAAAAGGGAAACAGGAARTGACATCAAAGGGGAACTCCTTGAAGAAAACGAACTCACTGATTGAAACATTATTATTTGAACTCTCACTCTTTTTTTTCTTTTGTTCCTGTCTGATAGCGACTCAAAATAATCTAAAACATCTGATTCCTCTCCACAGTCTTGGCTGTGGAGCATTTTAGCTTAGCTCTGTTTTCATGCCGACATTCCCCTTTGACATCACTTCCTGTTACTTCACATGCAAATATCTCAACAACTGTTCATCTCAGGAGCATAAAAATGATCTTGAAATATGTTCTCAGCTTATCTTTCCAAAAATGCATTTGTATTATTACAAAAAAATTTCATGTCACAGGCACTTTAACAGCTCAGTTTCTGCATCCTCAACTTCAAGTCATAATTATTTTTCGGCACTCAAATTTCACACTGCGTTTTCACAGAAATGGTCGTTTCTTAGTCTCACATGCTCTTTATTTCACCACCTTTCAGAAGATTTAACTTTTGATGTGTCTCTAACAGCAGGATTTGCCTTGAGCTGAAAAACAACAACGAAAGTAAATATGTTCTTAGACCTCCTAAACTGTTCAAGTTAGTGTTATTTGGAACACAAAGAGCAAAGAGAAAAGTGTCTATTATTTTTTTAAAAAGAGACCTAAATAATGTAACATTATCATTTTAATATATTTATTTCTTCTCCTGCTAATGTCAGTCATATTTATGCAGCCAGTTCTTCTGTGCTTTTTACCAAAGTTACTTTAACTCAAACTTTCAATTTAAAGCAGTCATTTTCTATAAACGTAGTTTTGGCCTAGTAAATAATCTGAGTAATTCTTACATCTTTAATGGATTAAAGAGTGCAGTAACATTACACCTGCAGCCTTTACACCGTGTCCTATTTTAGCAGACATGCTTTTATTGTAGGTTTCAGAAATAACACCACACTGCTGTTACCTTCCACTGCTACTGTGAAGTAATGAACAGCTTCTCCAAGCGGGTTCTTAGCTTTGCACATGTACTTCCCACTGTCGTCCTGTTCAGCTCTCTCTATGATCAGCAGTTTCCCATGATTCTCYAGTTGTGCTTTACCAGGAAGCCGATGACCCATTTTCACCCATTCCACCTGTGGAGTCGGACTGAAGAACACAAAACAAATATTAAGTCTAAAATCTGACCCTTTTTTTTGTCAAAACAGATAAAAAAAGAGGTGTTCATGGAAAGAGAAAATATGTGTTTGTCTGCTCTCTATCAGTTCTTAGCTTCTGTGTCAAGATGTATTTAAAATTATCAGGTTCACACATAATCATCAGGTTCAAAAATTGTTGTGATTTAATATTAAAAMTGTTCAAATCTGACTTCAAGTGTACAAAAACAAAAAACAGATTCCACCAAAGCCGAAATGGAAACTGAGTAGATTCAGCAGGCTGTAGAACCGCTTCCAGCAACATTAACCTAAACCTGCTGTTCTTTTGAAGGACTTCACAGAATCAAAACTAGATAAAATAGTCAAAAAAGATTTTAGTGTGGTTAAATGTCTTTAATGTGTAAAAGCATAAATTTCTTAAAAAAAAAAGAAAACATGGTGTCACTTACATTCCTTCAGGAATACACTCCAGCTTCAGGTCTTCTCCTCTGATCAGTTGTTTCTCTGACCTGACACCAGGGGGCGTCAGAAGCGAGGGTCTCCTCTCCAAAATTGCATTTGCTGATGCAGAGGAACAAAGAAGAGCAACATTTTACTGAAATGTTTTATGTCTGCAGAGACGGGTGCACTCTTCATACGTCACACTTACCATGCTCAGAACTGTCACGTTTTCCTGACATGGAGGTGGATGACACACACACACACACACACACACACACACACACAC